TCCCCCTTTTCCCCCTTCCCCCTCTCTCCTTCCCCTCTCCACCAAAAGTTTGCTTCTCTCCACCACAACCCCTCCATCGTCCATATAGGCAAGAGGGCTTGTCCTGTTTTTCGAATGGGTGTGTATCCACCTAGATGTGTTCTCAGCTCCTGGTTCCCGCCTCCAATTTCCAAGCAACAGGTGTACGTATTCCCGATCTTTCTGGGATCTGGCATACCTCTCAGGAAGCTCTGAATGGGGATCCTCCTCCCTTCACCGTTCCAGTTCCCAGTTCGCTAAATAGGTCATACACAATGAAATAACAATTCGATATATGTATGAGGAAGTCTCTGGAGCAGAACGGGGGTCGAACTAACGTCCTGGGGTAACCCCAGACGCACCTGTAACCCATTGACAACGGTAAGGGTAAAGCAGCGTGTCTGGGGTTACTCGGGATGCTGGTTCGATGCCCGTCTAGCTTGAAATATTGTCTCTTAAATACATCATATTTCTATGCAAGAGTTACAAGCGAACAAATTTCAAGCTGTAATATAATGTAAAAGGATTTTATATGTTCACTTTTCTTGACTGAAGAGACTCCAAATCCATATGTTCGGTGGATTGGTGTTTGTCTGGTTCATACGCATTAGTAGTGAACCAATCATACAGCGCCAATCATACTGTACGGTTGAGAATGAGTTTTTTTTTTCGTTGAGCTGCTTGTCACTGCTCATCATACTCATTACTCATTCTACATCTCTTCCTTCTGTTGAGTAGATGGCAAAGATGTAGAGATGGCCGTCAGGAGGCCTGGTCGAGGACCGGGCCGCGGGGACGTTGAGCCCCGAATTCATCGCAAGGTAAAGTAAGGTTCCCCATTGAAACACCTTGTGCAGATCATCTCAGCCAATTTTCCCTACTCGTGTATGGGTATATACACAGCGAGAGATATACCCAGCTTCACGGTGCGTATACCCTGAGAGTATACTTCAGTCCAGGACTATGTTGAGGACTAAAGTATACTTATTGGATGGTCAGTGAGCTCTTATGTGGCTTGAAACCCCTCATGTGGTTGATATGTCTTAAGTACAACCTCAAATCCCTATTTACAAGCAGGGGTTGATGTCGTAATTGTTTAGCACTTTCACCTGATAATTATCTTACCTTGCGAACAAGTCTCCCGTGGGCAAATGGCCCATGTAACCAGGTAAGTAATTACTGCTGGGTGAACAGAGACGGGCAGTTAAGGGTTGGTTCCTAGTCAATCCTCCCTGCTGTACCGGGAGGATTGTTAGCTGTACTCACCTGTGATTGTGTACGAACCTGTTAATCTATACTCACCTGTGATTGTGTACGAACCTGTTAATCTATACTCACCTGTGATTGTGTACGAACCTGTTAATCTATACTCACCTGTGATTGTGTACGAACCTGTTAATCTATACTCACCTGTGATTGTATGTGTTCTTGAAAAACTGTATTACTGCTCCGTGTTTTTGTGTGTATTTGATAACTTTTTGTGTGTATTTGATAACTTTTTGTGTGTATTTGATAACTTTTTGTGTGTATTTGATAACTTTTTGTGTGTATTTGATAACTTTTGTGGGTATTTGATAGCTTTGGAGGGTAGAAATAACCTGCGCTTCCCTATCATTTTGAGATGTAATTTAACTCAACAAACTTACATGAACTTGAAATGGGTAACTTGTACCCGTGTAGCTGCGTTTGTTTACCTTCCTCACCTCCCTGGAAACACAAACAAATCAAATCAAATGTTTATTTAGGTAAGGTACATACATACAAGAGATTTTACAAAGAGTGATGGATTTATAGATAGGGCTAGTACATACAATGCCTAAAGCCACTATTACGCAAAGCGTTTCGGGCATAAACCGAAACTGTCTCCATTTTCCGCTTGTTACAACTTGTAATAAAGTTGTTACATCTTGGCTTAACGTGTTTATGACGCATTAGAACGTTGTTACAACTTGCTATATTGGTTGTTATAACTGGTTAGGAAGTGTTAAAACTTGTTCGAACGTTGTACCAACGTCGTAGTTTCGGTGTGTGTTTGGCGGGCTATTAGTCTTGGCGTTAGCTGTAATCTGCCTCTTGGTGTATCTGGTCGCTTTGGTAATTTTACTGAATGCGTTAGAGTCGTATCTGGCCTTTTAAAGATGTAGACGGAGGTGGCTTTCTCAACTTCTTCTTCTGTTAGTGTATTATCCTTCTTGACCACCACCTGTATATAGGGTACGAGTATTTCCTTACCTTTCTTCGACTCGTGTGGGTTACAAGTTTAATTCCACCTCTGTTCTCCTGTTCTCTGTTCTGTCACTTAGGTAAGTTTGTGCGGGAGCTTAGTAAGTTGAATTGGTCTGGAGAGGGAGGGTTGAGAGCTGGCTTCTGTGCTATCGAGTGGCGTTGTTATCTTCTTGCAAGGATCTTGCAAGCAAATAAGTGGAAATTACAGAATGTGAAGCTGCAGATTTAGCTCCAACATTCATAACAACAGTTACCGAGAACATTCGAATATCTTACCGTGGTATAGAGAACGTTTAGATACCTCACTGTGATAATTTGATATCTTATTTTGATATATAAAACGTGTTTTATCGTACCCATATGTACTTCCCGCTTACCCATGTACCATCCCCCCCCCCTAGTGTACTATCCACTTCCCTATGTACTACCTACTACCTTCAAATGTACTACCCACCTCTGCACACGTCTCATCCACTCCCTCATCCATCCATTCCCAACATTCACTCTCCACTCCCAGCATGTATTATCCTCTCCCGTATGTGCCAACCACCCCATTATGTACTATCCCCCTACATTCATGCTATCCCCCCCCCCCTACATGTACTGTGTACTATGTACCTCTCCCATATGTACTCCCTCTATAGTCTTCCAGTTTACCGTCTTAGTCATCAGGCGCGGGCTGTCGGCTCTCAGATTTACATAAAATTTGAATATTTTCTCTAATGATAAGTGCTCAATAGCCATCTATCTTTTTATGTCTGGCACGGCTGACAGATGGCTTTCAGCCAAGAGGCTCGGGCTTTCCGAGACAACTTTCAACTGTGGCTTCGATGGAGGAAAGTTGCTGGTCCTGATTACAGAGGATTGAGACGAGTTGGTGAGGGGGAGTGACACTGTATATGTGGGGGGAGGGGGGGGGTGGACACATTACATGAGCGGGGGGGGGGGGAAGAAGGGAGGGGGGGACTCAGATATGTGACATTACCCAAATTATTTTAAGCCAAATAACTGCACAATAATAATTATCAGACAAATTGTAGTAGTGAGTTCTGCATTGAGGTGTTGATAAGTGTGTGTGTGTGTGTATTTACTATGTGTGTCTGCAGAGTTGAGATATTAGCTCTTGGACCCCGCCTTTCTAACCAATCTATTTTTACTCATACTATATCTCCTACATATATTTCCTCTTCAACACACGCACGCGCGCGCGCGCACACATCCCCAGGAAGCAGCCCGAAGCAGCTGATCCTCTGATACACACACACTTTTGTGTGTGTGTGTGTGTGTGTGTGTGTGTGTCTGTGTGTCTGTGTGTGTTGAAATAGAATACAATTTCTTAAACCCTGACAATAGCAAGAAATAACATTTATTAAAGACAATTAACATCTATGATAACATTAATGAAACTTGTTAATAGCTGAAATAACATAAATAAATGTACTATATATTATTGTTTGTCTTGCTTGATGCCTCTGGCCAGAATTTAAATAAGATAACCTCTTAACTCCCAAGATTTCTTAAGATCACTAACAGCGAACAAAGGTGTTTGTTCCTTGGAAGAACAGTATTCGTATGAGGGAAAGAACATTGTTCGATTAAGGGAAGAACGGTGTTCATAATAATGTTTATAACTCGGAAGGGCAGAGTTTGTAACAGTGCTCCTAACAGGGAGCAACAGTGCCCCTAACAGGGAGCAACAGTGCCCCTAACAGGGAGCAACAGTGCCCCTAACAGGGAGCAACAGTGCCCCTAACAGGGAGCAACAGTGCCCCTAACAGGGAGCAACAGTGCTCCTAACAGGGAGCAACAGTGCCCCTAACAGGGAGCAACAGTGCCCCTAACAGGGAGCAACAGTGCCCCTAACAGGGAGCAACAGTGCCCCTAACAGGGAGCAACAGTGCCCCTAACAGGGAGCAACAGTGCCCCTAACAGGGAGCAACAGTGCCCCTAACAGGGAGCAACAGTGCCCCTAACAGGGAGCAACAGTGCCCCTAACAGGGAGCAACAGTGCCCCTAACAGGGAGCAACAGTGCCCCTAACAGGGAGCAACAGTGCCCCTAACAGGGAGCAACAGTGCTCCTAACAGGGAGCAACAGTGCCCCTAACAGGGAGCGACAGTGCTCCAAACAGGGAGCAACAGTGCTTCTAACAGGGAGCAACAGTGCTCCTAACAGGGAGCAACAGTGCTCCTAACAGGGAGCAACAGTGCTCCAAACAGGGAGCAACAGTGCTCCTAACAGGGAGCAACAGTGCCCCTAACAGGGAGCAACAGTGCCCCTAACAGGGAGCAACAGTGCCCCTAACAGGGAGCAACAGTGCCCCTAACAGGGAGCGACAGTGCTCCAAACAGGAAGCAACAGTGCTCCTAACAGGAAGCAACAGTGCTTCTAACAGGGAGCAACAGGGAACACACACACACATTAGCAGGGGCCCTCCACCATCGCCCTCTGGCAAATCGGACCTCGAAAATGAGATTGAAATATTGACACAAATTTATTGAAGACTTAACAAATTTCCCACGAGACCAAGATTTTTTTCTTTGACTGTTTCCATTTCTCTGACCTAAACCTCAATTCCCCCTTCCCCTTCCCCTCACTTCCCCTCCCCCTTCCCCTCCCTTCTCCACCCCCTTCCCCCTCTCCAGGTCACCCAAAGCGGCAGGCCTCTGTAAATTACGCAAATCGGACTTCTTTTGTTCCTTCGTCATCATTTTGTTCTCACGAGCTGAGTGATGAAGTTGGCAGGAGGCTGGTCTCATGGGTCAGGAGGCTGGTCTCAGGGGTCAGGAGGCTGGTCTCATGGGTCAGGAGGCTGGTCTCATGGGTCAGGAGGCTGGTCTCAGGGGTCAGGAGGCTGGTCTCATGGGTCAGGAGGCTGGTCTCATGGGTCAGGAGGCTGGTCTCAGGGGTCAGGAGGCTGGTCTCATGGGTCAGGAGGCTGGCCTCAGGGGTCAGGAGGCTGGTCTCAGGGGTCAGGAGGCTGGTCTCAGGGGTCAGGAGGCTGGTCTCATGGGTCAGGAGGCTGGCCTCAGCGGTCAGGAGGCTGGTCTCAGGGGTCAGGAGGCTGGTCTCAGGGGTCAGGAGGCTGGTCTCATGGGTCAGGAGGCTGGCCTCATGGGTCAGGAGGCTGGCCTCATGGGTCAGGAGGCTGGTCTCAGGGGTCAGGAGGCTGGTCTCATGGGTCAGGAGGCTGGTCTCAGGGGTCAGGAGGCTGGTCTCATGGGTCAGGAGGCTGGTCTCATAGGTCAGGAGGTTGGTCTCATGGGTCAGGAGGTTGGTCTCATGGGTCAGGAGGCTGGTCTCATGGGTCAGGAGGCTGGCCTCATACGTCAGGATTCTGGTCTCATGGGTCAGGAGGCTGGTCTCATGGGTCAGGAGGCTGGCCTCATACGTCAGGAGGCTGGCCTCATACGTCAGGAGGCTGGTCTCATGGGTCAGGAGGCTGGTCTCATGGGTCAGGAGGCTGGTCTCATGGGTCAGGAGGCTGGCCTCATACGTCAGGAGGCTGGTCTCATGGGTCAGGAGGCTGGCCTCATACGTCAGGAGGCTGGTCTCATGGGTCAGGAGGCTGCCCTCATACGTCAGGAGGCTGGTCTCATATATCAGGAGACTTGAATTAACTTCACTTGAATTAAACAATTAAAGCCATTTACAGTTCCACGTAAATAGAGTCAATTTGTAACGGAAGGGATGTGCTTGCCACCAGTGAACTTTGCCTCGAGGGGCTCCTACCTTGAGGTTACCTTGAGGTGCTTCCGGGGCTTAGTGTCCCCGCGGCCCGGTCGTCGACCAGGCCTCCAGGCTCAGCTTAGTCAATACTACAACTACTGCCGTCGCTGGGCAGGGAGGGAATGAATTACATTCTTCCCTCTTAATTCCCCTGTGCATGGAGTCGAGCCTAGCGTGGGAGGTGGTGGGGGTGGTTTAGGGTAGGGGGGAGCTCTTGTGTAGGCGGGGAAAGGTTCCCTATGTGGGGGGAATGGTTGGTGGTGGGTATATAGTGTTGATGGTTTGGATGTATGGGTGGAATGGAGGAATGGATGGATAGCTATCTGGGTGTGGGTTGGGGGGGTGGCGTCTGGGGTGATGGGGGGTAACCCCATGTGGGTGGGAATATAGGGGCTCGATATTAAAACATTCGCCAGTGATGCCTGTGACAGCTTTTGTTGGTGTTTGACGTTTTGTGGGGGAAGATGACTGATTTTTCTACTTCAATTTAATCTATTCAGAGATGACATCGATCAATTAGGATTTTTTCCAATAAGCTGGTGTTATTTTTGGTAATGTGTCACAGGAGTTGGCGTCACCAAGGCAACGCTCACGCCAGAGGGGAAAAAAATACAATTCGTGACGGTGATTTATGCGTTTGGCAACACCGTTTCTACTTACATATATATACTGAAGTTTGTTCAAGTCTACGCTAGCTACATACTCCATGTGTGTCTGTATGTGTGTGTGTGTATGTATCCTCTATACATGATAAATCTATATCTGGGATTACTAGCATGCTTAAGGCTGTTTAAGTGCTTCGAGGTAATACAATGAACGGACATTCCAGTCTGAGCTATTCCTATTTCCTAGTTAGCATAGTTAGCATAGAATTTCCTTTTACTTGGCAAACGACTCGAAATGATGTAAATAAACTTCCCTTACTTCAGAATCGAACCCACAAGCCATCGAGCCTGTACAGCGTCACATCTGCCCCACCAATCAACCATTTTATAAAAATAGCATCACGTAGAATGAATCGTAAAGGTAAAGGTCTCCTTGGGAGTCGAACCCGGGACCTTTTGGTCGCGTGATTAAGCTGAAGCTCGTGCCATTGTATTTACGCACCCTCGAATCATGCACGCACATCTGCGCAGGAAGCCGGCATTGTCGGTTTTCTTTCTAAGATGAGAAAGGACATCTTAATTCCAAATATATTTTTAAGTTGCCCAGAGGCACTCTTCCCCATTTTCATTATTCTGCTTTTACTGAATTTTTATTTTTTTATTTTTGGTTCCATTGCCTTAAATGTATACAGCAGTTTACCCTAATGTCATTGTTAATGTAAACTACGGAGGTCGGATAATAACTACAACATATGAACACACATGGAGAGGTAAATGGTTTACATATTATGAAAGAAAGATGTGTTAACTAAATGAGAGAGAGAGAGGGAGAGAGAGAGGAAGGAGAGAAAGAGAGCGAGAGAGAGAGAGAGAGAGAGAGAGAGGAAGGAGAGAGAGAGGAAGGAGAGAGAGAGGAGGGAGAGAGAGAGAGAGAGAGAGAGAGAGAGAGAGAGAGAGAGAGAGAGAGAGAGAGAGAGAGAGAGAGAGAGAGACGATATACTGAGCTTACCTTCTAAATTAACGCCTAACCTTCTCGTCGTCTTCCATAATAATCTTAAAGGGAGCAAAATCAAACGAGGGGAAATTTGTGTGCGGGAAGCGCTCCACCAATCAGTGGAGCCCTGATGTCAGATGAGCATCAATTTGCGGGCCCGTCGGCAACTCAGCAACTGAGGGGTTCAATCCTGGCAATTCCTGTTTACACTGCTGACGCGACCTTCACTCCGCTGGCGAGCAAACAGGATTATCATCCTCCCGTTTGGCATTTCCTGATGAAGTGTCGGAGGCTGTGATTGTGGAGATTTTCATTTGATTCGATGTTGATGTGCACCGATGCTGCTGATGCTCTCTCTGGAGTCACGATGTTGATGGTAGTGTGTACTAATTGATGTCTTTTGTCACTGGATCAAGAGATGCAGCATCCCAGCATCTCAGCCTATGTGATTCGTTCCAAGTTACCTCGAAAGACGATCTCAACAATTGTTCCCATATGGGCTGCGTTAGATATGTTACGTAGTTATAAGCGGGGTGTTCCAGTGGTGGTCCGGATGTCCCTGATGCTAGCAGAGACAACAGAGATGCTGTCTGACTTGCATCTGCTGTTTGGAATGGTGTTTTTCACGGTACTGGTGAATGGGGCCGGTTCAGGTACCCGTGCTTAGCTAGTCTTGAAAGGTCCGACTGGTTCAAGAACCAGTGCTAGCCGATCTGAGGGTGTGACTGGTTAAGGAACCAATCCTAGCGAGTCTGAGGATATGACTGGTTCAGGAACCAGTGCTAGCTAGTCTGAGGATATGTAACTGGTTCAAGAACCAGTCCTAGTCATGAGGGTGTGACCTCAGTAAGAATGTGACCTTACTGACTTCGTGAGGTCAGTAAGCCATATTTCGTACGAGATCAGAAAGCCAAACTCACTCACTCACTCTGGTCAATAATCAGGTTTCTCTTCGCGTCCAGTAAGTGATTTTTTTGGGGGGGACTTATCAGCAAGATATTATTTTCAATGTTGCGAGTGAGAAAAGCTCTAAGCCTTACCCGTAAGCTGGGAGTCCCTTGAGAGCCGGAACCCAGTAAACCAAGCCCTCGGAGTGGTCAATAAGCCGAACTTCAAGGGCATGGGAAAGCTGCTTTGCTTCAATACTTAGGACGATGGCGGATCAAGATATCGACGCGTTAAAAGGAACAGCGACACCGGATAGATATCAATCAGTGTGATGCATTTCTTTCTCTCTTGTTATACGTTTTCGATCTTGGGTTTAGTGATAGGCTCGCGGTCTTACCTGACAGAATGGCAAAGACTTATTTTTTCTCAAAAAACAGTCGCACGCGACCACGCTGGAGCTCTGGCGACAGTCTGCTGTTTGTATTTTAGTCAGTGTTCGAAGTTGTAACTCGAAGCTCTGACGTCTGTAACTCGAGGTTATGACTCGATGCTGTAACTTAAAGCTGTAACTCAAGGCCATGTTATCAGAGACATTACAAAAATCAAAAGATTTTCTTTAGTTTTTATTTCGTTGTGTGCAATTTCATCAGTATTTCAAAATTTCAGTAAAAATATTGTTGAAAAAAAAGTAGTTTATACGATTCAGATGAAAATGGTTACCTCGTCGAATTCTGAAAGTTACACATAATGTTTTTATTCAAACTATAAGCCAGAGGGTCTCATAGTGCAGTTGGCTTTGTTCTCGACTCTCAATCGGGTATCCAAGATTCGATTCCCGGACGGGATAGAAATGGTTGGCTGGGGGGGGGGGGGACATTTCCTTTCACCTTATGATTCTGTTCACGTAGCAATTAATAGGTACTTTGGGGGGGGGGGGGTTAATCAACTGCTGTGGCGTTGCATCCTATGGAAGGTTAGTAATTCGACCTTGGGGAGATCTCGATACACGCCTGAAGTAAAATATATATATATATATATATATATATATATATATATATATATATATATATATATATATATATATATATATAATATATAAAATATGGTTCCAAAGGTTGTTATAGCCGGGGGGAAGGGTTGTAGAGATCAGCTCCCACAGCCTGTAAAGTGCCCCTCAAGGCGTGCGTCTCAAATAGCCTCTGACAACCAAGTCCAGCTCCTGGCCTGCTCGTGTGGCTTAGTCTCTAGGCCTGGCGGAACTGCTTCTACCAACAGGAGAAGGGGCGAAGGCGGGCCTCTGGCGCCTTAAACCCAGTTGCTTCGGGCAGATGGGACTCGTTAGCCTGGAAAGGCAGCTCATCTAGGGGAAGGAAAACCCCGAATTCAAACCACCGCTGTCTTGTGGCTAAACCCACTCATGGGAAAGACTTCGGGAGTCAACCCTGAGGAAAAATCCAGAGTCGAAGTCCCAAAGGCAGACCGAAGTCCAAGCGTATCGGCGCCTGCCCTTCCCTTGGATCACATCGGTGTCGTGGAGAGGGGTGGATGTGCTGCATGGGCAACAGCTTGTCCTCCATAATTTCTACCCAGGCTTGTGCCCTGGTGAGGATACTCCAGCATGACCTTGGCGATGGCTCAGGCCTTCCCAGCCACAGCAGGCGCTGTAGCCAACTAGACTACAACAACTAGACACCCAGGGTACAGCTCCATAACCCCACGGAATTGACGAATGCCTACTACTATATATATATATATATATATATATATATATATATATAACTTTTTAGACACTCAACCCACCAGGAGACTCGAACACTGGCCAACAAGGTGGCAGTTGCATGCTGTATCCACTACACTATACTTCAAAGCCATAAGAGAGGTAGGAATTCTGGGGTATTAACCAACCAGAACCCCAATCCTCTTATGGCTTTGAAGTATAGTGTAGTGGATACAGCATGCAACTGCCACCTTGTTGGCCAGTGTTCGAGTCTCCTGGTGGGTTGAGTGTCTAAAAAGTTATACACTTCAGCTACTGGAATAGGGTAGTCTGTGCATTAAGCATTTGGCACTGAGTTTTCCCATATAACAGGAACCGATGAAAGAGCATCCGAGGTCCCACACTATCTCATTGCCTGGGAGAGGATTGGGGTTCTGGTTGGTTAATACCCCAGAATTCCTACCACTCTTATGGCTTTGAAGTATAGTGTAGTGGATACAGCATGCAACTGCCACCTTGTTGGCCAGTGTTCGAGTCTCCTGGTGGGTTGAGTGTCTAAAAAGTTATACACTTCAGCTACTGGAATAGGGTAGTCTGTGCATTAAGCATTTGGCACTGAGTTTTCCCATATAACAGGAACCGATGAAAGAGCATCCGAGGTCCCACACTATCTCATTGCCTG